GTGGAGGAGGATGTATGGCCCCTCTGCAGGTTGGTTGTGACCTCCTCAGGGTCAGTGTGCACTCTGGAGACACTGGGGAAGATGTCTCCTTTGAGGAGGTGATTTATATTGGCCACCTGGAGTAACTTATCTCCCTTTTCTCTGATGTCCTCCTCTCTGCCTGTGATGAACCGTCGGTGTGAAAAGCTCAGCTCACAGATTAAATGGCTGCGGTGCTCTGAAGTTGGCTCTTGTGAAACAACCGTGTTAATTGGAACACTTTATGCAGAGAGTTTTTTTCCTCGACATTAAATTCCCCCCCGGCAATATTTCTTTCCTAACTAATCACTGCCAATGGCAGTAATTCTGTTTTGCATTGATTTCCAATTATTTCTTGAATGAAAACCCAATATTCTAACAGTATATTTATTGACGTGTCTGTCTGGATTACAACATTAGTAGTATAGGTTGCGTCACACGTCTGTCTTTAGTGCACAAAACAAATCCAAAGTAGCCGCAGTAGAAGATATGAATATTTATCAGGAATTAAATTCAGAGATAAACAGAAGACATTCCACCTTTACCTCTGGGAATAAATTAATCATTTTTTTCATGGGACATATTTTCACATAGCACATTTCTTTAAATTGCCCAACTCCTGACTCATCACTGACTCTTGTTCTACAACAATCCATTCCCAAAGATCCTTCTTCTGTTGCTGTTGCATTTGTGTCGTACTTGTCACCATACACTCTTTATCCAAGTACGTTTACCTTGGTTTACGATAATCGTCCTCATCACCATTCCTGTACTGGTATGAAATGGTGATCTGCAAGAAAAATTAAATAAAATCACTAATGTCTTGCCAATGTATTAGCCTCCTGTTTATGCTGCTACTCAAATGGTTGGATAGTGGGAGATTTGTGTCTTTATAAACAAAATATTTCAAATTAAAATAAATGTATTCCATGCCGTGCATGTTCGCTAGAACAAGTCGGTAGAATATTAAGTACAGGTCAATTCATTATGGCTCAAGTTTGTTTGTCCTTTACTCACAATTATTGTCTAAATGAACAACAATTGACAGACAACCCCAACCGTAGGACCTGAGTGACAACAAGGAAAAGCCTCCACAAATACTTGCCTCTTCAAGGACAGTCAGACAGAAGTAGGAGCTGAGAATAGGCAAACAAAGGACACATTTATTAGAAAATGCAGCATTAAAGATATACAAAATCATAGATTAAGAGCTGTTGGATAAACATCCGGATCTGATGTGTGGGAATTTCAATGTCAGTTTACCTCCGTCACCATGGAAAAGTTTACTGGATGTGTGGAAGGAGGAAGTGTCACAGACCACACTGATAGTGTTCATCTGAGAAGAGATGACAAACATGGTCCGGAAGATGACACATGATCTGTCATCACTAATTCAGATACTTTTGGAAAAGCTGAAGCCAGTGCGGACACGGTGATGAGCTGTGACTAAACGTCTCCAGCTGGAGTAATTCGCTATATGTAACTTCTAATTGCTTCAAGTGTGTGTGTGTGTGTGTGTGTGTGTGTGTGTGTGTGTGCGTGTGTGTGTGGGCGTGTATGTGTGTGTGTGTGTGTGTGTCTAGTTTGAGGAACAGCCTGTGGAATGTGTGGGGGATGCAGATCAGATTTCGGGGTGACCTTGAGTGTGCCTTGTAGCTGACACAGCAAGTCTGTTTGTTGTGTGTGTGTGTGTGTGTGTGTGTGTGTGTGTGTGTGTGTGTG